TTATGTACATTCTGATAAATGTAAAACAACCGGTATGATAAAAAAAGAAACAACCTGGTAAAAACAACTTTTATTTGGAATAAGTGTTGGATTCTTTGCACCATAAAGCACAAAACGATGAATTCCTGCAATCGTTACGCTTGCACCACAAATTCCGTGTATCAAAAACGAGACGATCAGTAAAGCGTAGCTGGACCTGTAATTCCATGAGTGTATAATAACGTATCTTTTTTGAATAAACGGTTTTGCTACTTTAGAGAAGTCTTGAAGTAATTTTTCTGTTTGAAGAAGAAAATTTTGTCTAGAAATTGCCTCCACCTTCTTAATTTTTGGTTGTTTAATCATATCCTTTTTTTGCAGAAGTGATGACAACGATTGAAAAAAAAACGCAAAACCAGATGCATTGAAATTGTCTTGAGAGATCCTCTAAAAGCGTATATTCTATCCAAACAGATATACTAAGCTTTTTTTGTTGCATCTTTCTGTACTTCTTTTTTTGTTTTTTTTTCTTGATATATATAGTTGTATATATAGTTGTATGTATATGCTTGCATAGATTATTCAAATATTTTTTAGCCTGATTTCGGTCATAATTTGATGTGAAGAGGAGAACGATTTTTTATTCTACGTAGTTTTGGCTGATTTTTTTAGTATTACAAAGCAGATATATTAGTTTTCTCTTGAAAGGTATCATATTTTTAAACATAACCGCCTTGCTTTGGCGATCTACTCCAAAAAAAGCCTAAATGAGCGAAATGAGAGGGTCGCTTTGAGAAATTACCAAAGTTTGGAAAAAATTGTTCTCGAAGTCGTCTTATTATTGCTCATCGTTCCCATATTGGTTTAGCATAGAAACCATAATACAAGACAAACAGTAAATGTACTAAGTTCATTTATTTTTACTCTTGTTTTGTCTTGTTTTTTTTTTTTTTGGACTTTCTTCCTTCAAATGTTGCTGCAAGAAAATTTTTATTCTATAGTTATTTTGGTTGATAATAACTACCAAGTTCTATTTTTAAAAAACGAGTCACTATACATGAATCGCTTTGCAAGAAAAAAAAATGCTCTTTGCACGCAGCTCCGGCGCTGTGTAAGCAACTCGTGTCTCAAAGAAAATCAAATGAATTTACATTAGGTAAATTATAGCGCTAAATAGGTTATTGTATGTAAAGCAACTGAGGACTAGTTATAAATAATCGTCTAGGAAAAAGTGAGCACTGAGCGCCAAAAACGTTAAACAGTTGAAAACAAAACTGTTGAGATTTTTATTTTAAAAATAATTTGAATATTTGTGTCTTTACCTTATATGTCTGTCTTTAACAAGGATAAAAAATACTGTCAAGTTGGTGACGGTGAGCAGTGACCCGACGGTTGTGAAGCCATACGTACGAATATATGAATTAAGCGTCTCAACGGTTACCATTCTTCCTCCTCTTTCGTCAAAGAGCGTAGAAGAACTGCCACATTTTTATGCAACTTGTTATTGCTCTAATCAATAACGAAATTCAAAATCAACGAAAGGTTATATTATTATCAAATTTTTTTATCTTAAGATGAAGAAGAAACTTAACTTTTTGAAACCTTTTATAGTGCGAATAGTGTCGTTTCACTGGTTTCTGTGACGGCAATCGGCAATTTCTTTTTTTAATTTATGTTTTTGGACTGAGGTGAGCCAACCAAAAAGGTGCTATTCTGCTGAGCAAAAAAATTTACTTTAATAGAAAAATTTGAAGGTTTTGAAGAGTTCAAAAGCTCTATTTCAAAAGTTCAAAATGAGCATATCTTAATGTTATAGTCTTAAATTTAGCTTGGAAACAGCATTTCTAATTAAGGTCTAAGAAAGGAGCATAAGTTATAAAATATAAACAGTGAATGACAGTTACGGTTTCAAATTTTGTTTGTCAGGTGGCTCTAAAGAGATGTTTTTTAGGTGGAGAAGTTTCAATTTTGACTTACAAAATATAATCAAGAAACGATTAGACTTGAACTGTTTGTTAAAAAACACAAAGATTAGAAGACATGGCACTTTTTTATGTAACGCTATTTTTTTGTCTTTTTAGGGTGTTTTTTATCATTTTTAAACTCCAATATCCTATCTTATTTTTGGAGAACAAGATTTTTACAAAATAAACGTAATGCATAGCTTCTTCATTGCGAATAAATGTTTGGTACAAAGGGTGGCAAAATGTATGCTAAATGGTGTTTAACACACGACTACAGATTAAAATTTAGGTTGTTTTCCAATAAAATTATAATAATGTATATTGATGTTAATGCCATATTCTACAAATTAAAAAAAATTGATTTAGAAAAGTTTTACTGAGCATAGGAAACTTATACTCAAAAGAAAAAAGAAAATGAAACAGTCAAAAAAAGGCAGGATATTTCGTATTTGTCGTTTTTGCGACTTATAGCACTAGGCTAATGCAGCAGCCTTCTATCAGAAATTAGTTACTGATGTAGGATGTGATGCTAATCAGAACCGTTTGTTTCAGGTCGTCAACACTTTTTAAGTTAAGCTCACTAAAAACGCTGCTCTATCAAAGTTACCATTAGAGTTAAAACAAAATAAAAAAAGCTTTGTTTGTTTTGCTGATATAATAGAACAAAAAGCAGATTCAAAAAATTAGACAGTTTTTGTTTTCCAAAATTAGAATAAAATTTTTTTTTTGTTTTCTGGACAATAAGCATATAATTTTTTTTGAGATACTAACCAGTATTTATTTGAAATATTTTTTTAATTAAAATTAAAGTCATTTTCGTCGTCAGTAGATCAAAGTTGATTTATAAAATATAGGTTAGTGATTTAGGCTTTAGCATTTGTTTTATGGTCTGAATGTGGTGCAGAGTCGTCACAATCTTCATAATTTTTGTGTTTATTCAGAAAACCTGCTGGTAAACAGTACGTTAATTGTTATGAATAGCACGTTAGTGCGATAACTTTTTATTCCTTCTTTCTTAGGGCCATCTGTAAGACGACATCAGTAACATCAGTAAGTCAAAAAACGAGTTTTGTGTATCTGTCTGTATATTTGGAACATATTTGACTGCTTTCTGGGATTGTAAAGTTTTTCAGTGTCGGAGAAGTGACTAGATGTTTACTGGTAATAGTGAATTAATTTTCTGAAGCCATTGCTAAAAATAATAAAGGAAAAAGTAGAAGTACAGAGATTATTTTAAAACCATTTCTTCAGTCCCTTATTCTTCCCGGTAAAGGAGATAATACAAAAAAGAACTTAGCTGGTAACTCTTGAATTTGGTCACTGAATCTAATCTCCTTCACTTTTTTATTCTCTAAATCTCAAGAAAGTAATATGCGCTATTTGTTTCCTGTGGTTCTAGAAACTCTGCTTTCACTTTTTTGTACTATATGTCAGAGTTTTAAAGCATAGGCAAAAAGACAATCAATTTATAGTAGTTTACAAGTCAACCCTTTTGTTCGCTGTTTATTGCTTCTGATGAAAAGAAGGCAGAAACCATAGGCTCGAAAAAGTTGTCCGTGGATTACACCTTGAATCTATTCCCACATGAAAATCTAATTTTATTTTTCAATCCGAAATTTGTTAAAGTTTAGAGATTTTGAAAACTATTTATTGTCATCAGATTTTCATTTTTTAAGCATTTACATCTGCTGCTCAAACATATTTGGAGGTAAAAAAAATACGTTGCCTAAAAAACAGTTGAAAATATCAGGGACAAAGTATATGCAGTCAAGTGAAAATGAGCAACATTTGGAGTAAGAGAGCAAGGAGAAGCTGTATTCATAGGAGACAAGCTGGACCACGTAAAAAATTATCATGCTTTGCTTTCGGAGACAAGTGATATATTTCTGAATCAGAACCAGAACTAAATATAGAACATAATTTATATCAAAAGAGATGGTCAAATTTGTTAGAATTTGAAGATAGCAACATGAAACAAATACTTGCTTGTTACAGAACGCTGTAAAATTTAGATATGGAATCTTACTAAACAGTTGCTGTCTAGCAACGCCGTGCTCTGTGTATGAAAATGTGGAGACGAAATTTCGTAAAGAGCCACATGTATCTAAAATTATTTGTTCAATTATAGCCTCAGGGCGGGTTGAGGAAGACATCGTCTGTGTCTGGAAAACTGAAAAATCAAAGATACTAGATACTGTAAAAATCCAGCTCGGGTCGGAAAACCTAGCAGAAATTGGCTAACTTATTACTGCCTACTGTAAAAAATAAAACTGAAACAGCCTGGAGACAAAAAAACCGTAATTGCTTTTATCTAACAGGTTTTGCCGAGGAAAGGCAGACAAAAAATATACACAATTATGAGAATAAGTCAATGCGCAATTCGTTGTGTAAAAGAAAATGAAAAGCAAAAATAAAATTTTCTATATTACATCCTTCTTAATTCTCGGTCTCATTCGTTTCGGTTTTTGTAATTGACCATTTGTCGACTTTTTGCAAATTTAGAAACGACGTGTTGTGGTGGTTAGCTCGACGAAACTAGCTTAGACTACGACCAAGCCAGTTTTGAAATTGTTGGAGAACGCTTACTGAACTCTTTAGTCCGTTGCTGAGAACGAGTGTTAAATTCGGATTTCCTATAAGTGGTGTTACAGCATGGTGCACCTGCAGCAACAGCGCTTCTTTTTCGAGAGTATTTGTTAATAGTGCTTCTAATGCAGCACTGCCAAATTTCCTTGTGACGTGGCACAAAAATGAAAACCAGATTTAGCTGGTTAACATGGGATATGAAACGAACGTGAAGTTTTAAAGTCGATAACCATGAGACCTGGATGATTTCACACGCATATTGAAAGAACATTGGCACCACGTATAACACTAAAGAGAATTAGAATGTAAATACCGGTGCATCAGAGCTAAAGCTGAATTTATTTGACAACATTAACTTTGCAACTTTAGCTAGTATTTTCATTAAACTGTAAACGATTATTTCTTGTTCAGAACTACTGCTAGGAACTTGGATCCACAGGAAAACTGAACAACTACACTACACTGAAAATACTACATCTGCTTACGTAATGTACAACCACTGCATAATAGCACACTGATCGTGTAACTTTGCTGGCGTTTAGTAAGAAAGTGGTGCGTCGCAATAAGACCGTCTTTGTGTGTCACGCGGAACTTGCTCATTCCAGGATGTTTCCTCAAAACACTTATCTTAAATGGAGTGCTGCTGCATTCACAGTAGATTACTATTACTCTTCTGACGCTCTCCATCCAGAAACTTTCAAGCAGCAGTTCAAGCAGAAACAAAACACAATGTTGAAACACAATTTTCATTCTTATATCAGTCGGTCTAACATAATTCAGAAAAATTAGTAGTTACCGGCGTAAGATGATAATAACAGCTATCATTAATGCAATGCTAAAAGATGCGAACAATGTTCGGACGACATCCATATACTGCAGTGCTGGACTTGTGAATAAAAACTGTGATCTAAAAATAAAAAATTTATTGTCTCTGAAGTATTGTAACTTTTCAGTGTACTTCTCGATGAACTAGTAAAGGTAAAGCCCGTCGGCAACTAAAAGTAATTTGCAAAAAATGTAACCAAGTTTACAAGAGAACAATTTTTTGAACAGTCTGTATAAATCACTTTCCAAGTACAAAAAAACTGTGCCTGTAAATGTAGAGAGGTCATTCTTGGTTCCTTAAGTTTTCAGAAGTAAAATAAGGTTTGTAAGTAAATTGACATTTTAGAATTACATGAAGCGAAAGTTAGTGCTGAACTTACACACAAATTTTCTCTACAAATCGGTCTGGAAGCGTAAACTCGACAATAGTCGTCGTTCCGCACATAATGCTGGGAGTAACAATACATAACGTGATAAGAAGCTTTACAATAATTCGCTGCTTGGTAAAATAAAATATTGGGTTGACTACAATAAACAAACGATCAACACTGCTTGCCAACATGGCTGCACTTGAGGCTTGCTTTGACCATATTTCAAGGAATGCAGTTGACTGTAAGAATTTATGGCTTACTTAAGTTTTGAACAAAGGGCAAATAAAACTTTATCGATGACTTTTCTAAATGCGGTTTAAGTTGAAGCAGAAAAAATTCATTGATTAACAACAATTTACAGATATTCTATCCAATGCAAAATAATTGATACGTAAAATAGTAAAGAGGAAACGCAACCTGGTAAAAACATGATTTACTTGAAACAAGTGTCGGATTCATTGCACTATAAAGCACAAAACGATAAATTCCTGCAACCATTAAACTTGCTCCACAAATACCGCGCATCAAAAGCCAGAAGATTAGCAAAGCATAGCTGGACCTGCAATTTCATGGGTGTATGACAACGAACCTTTTTTTAATAAACGGTTTTGCTACCTAAGAGAAGTCTTAAAGTAATTTTCCTCTTTTAACGAGGTGATTTTGCACAAAAATTTCTTCCACCTTTTCTAACCTTCAATTATTCAGTTATATTTTTTTTTGGGGGAAATCGCTAACATTGTCAAAAAAAGAAACTCTAAGATAACACGCACATAAAACAAACTGCTGCAAGAAATTTTTTAAAAGCTTATTTTTTATCTAAGAAGATATACTAAGCTTTTCTTGTCGCTTCTTTACGTATTTGTTTTTTTCTAATTTTTACTTCAAAAAATTTGTGTGGGCGATCCCGTGTGAAGTCGCACACATTTGTACCTCAACCTCTCAGATTTTTTTCCTTTTTTGCCAACTTGTAGCACTCCGTACCAGACTTTGAAATCAAAAGAGTTCACCTCGAAAATTGCACTGACGGCAAAGTTAAATCGTTCTAAAGTGCGAAAAAGAAACGCAGTTCAGAAAAATGGTGAAACGCTTATATTGGCGAATTTTAAACGAAAATTTGAGAATTCAAAATGTTTTTTCTCGAGAAAGAACATTTTGAACTCAAAAAAAAGTACTATTTTCAAGAACGTGATTTTTGCACAATTTATAAAAGCTACAAGGTAGTAACTTTTGTCGTCAAGAGCTACAGTGCGATCAGTGACAGTAGACCAAACGAAGAAAAAACTCCTGACTGAAGCTGCGTTTTGGAGCTTTCCCAAATAACAGGACCTTTGTTTCAGCTAGGATTTCATTAATTATAATAATACATGTACTCTTCATCTACTCTAAAACTCTTTACCTTAAGGACTTCACTAGTAGACAATTACTTAAAATTTATTTACTTTTGAACAATCCGGCAAAGTTTGTTTAGAAAAAGTCACAATTATGACCACTTTTTAGGTTTGTACCGCTCTGCCTGCTTACCAAACTCCTTCAATCTAAATAAATCACACTCAATACTGTTTTTTGATTGCGAGTACTGGAATTTTTTCAATTAGAGGTTTTTACAGTCTGCTGTCACTAACCGCACCATAACTCTGGATACTATCATGCAATTTTTTATGTGTTTTGTAAAAAATATCTCTTTAAAGAATACATCTTTTTTAAAAATTCAAAATGTCGTTTTTTGTGAAGAAATGGTTAGATTTTTTTTTGTTATTTCAGACAAAAATAAAATTTACCAATGTAAGTGTTTCATTATTTTTTGAATAACTTTAAGCGGAGTAAAAGTGCGAAAAATTTGTTGCGAATAAAGAAAACTGCAAGTTTTTAAAGGTGAACATCTCGAGTGTAAATTGCGTTTTTTTTAGAGGTTTAGAAAAATAAAAAAAGCCGTCAACGCACTTTTTGAGGTGGATTCTCCAAAGTCCGGTATCAAGTGTTACAAGAAGAGAAAAAATAAAAAAAATCTGAGAGGTCGAGGTAAAAAAGTGTGCGACTATACGACTATACTGCATCTTAT